GCCCTTCACTACCCAAAGGTGTCTCAGAGCGGCTTACAAACTCCTTTCCCTTCCCCTCCCCACAACAGACACCCTGTGAGGTGGGTGGGGGCTGAGAGAACTCTTGACAGAAACTGCTCTTTTTTTCAAGAACAGCTCTTGTCAGAGCTTGTGACTGACCCAAGGTCACATCAGCAGCTGCAAGCGGAGGAGTGGGGAATCAAACCCGGTTCTCCCAGATTAGAGTCCGCACACTTAACCACTACACCAAACTGGCTCTCTTATACTCTTATACGAAAGAATTGATAGGACTTTGGCTTCATCCACCTGACCTCTTCTGAGCATATCACGTCCTTTGGGGAATCAAAGGACAGGAAAGCAGCCCTTAAAAGGAGAGAAGGGGCCACTGCTGAATTCAGCCCCAAAGGGAGCTTCCAGGACTCCTCGATCTCAGTCCCCCAAAGGCCTCCTTCCCTTCATACCTAGAGTGTCGGGCTCTTCTTTAATGTCCATCAAGAAATGCCTCTTCTCACTCTCAGATGGATCCTCGCCTGCCTCAGAAACCATTCCGGCGGCTCCCTCCAAGGGCACCTACAACATCAAAGAGGGATGGATCCTTTCCAGGGAGAGCAACAAAGACTGCAGAGGATGCACAGCGGAGGGTTCTTTCCCTCATCCTGACTATGGAAGATTACAATATGGAGAGTGCAAGACAGAGTTTCCCCTAAGGAATATTAAAAGGTGTGAGCACCACATTGCAAACTACTCCTAGTGTAGTTGATCCCACAATGATGGCACCCTCACCAATAAGGCCCAAGACATTATAATAAAAAGGTAAAGGTTCCCTTGCTCGAAAGCCAGTCGAGTCCGACTCTAGGGTTGCGGTGCTCATCTCCGTTTCAAAGCCGAAGAGCCAGCGCTGTTCGAAGATGTTTCCGTGGTCATGTGGCCGGCATGACTAAACACCAAGGCGCACAGAACGCTGTTACCTTCCCACCAAAGTGGTACCTATTTATCTACTTGCAATTTCTTGCTTTCGAACTGCTAGGTTGGCAGGAGCTGGAACTAGAGACTGGAGCTCACTCCGTCATGATAGCAGCCAGTAAATTGTATGGGAGGAGGGAGATGAGAGGAGGTCTTCATGACTCTCCAGGCCACACGTGTCACTCGTGGAGATGACAAGGGGGTAGGAATCTTGAGCTCCCAGAACCCAAAGACCTGCCCTTTCAGGGGGAGGGTGACCCCATCACTACAGGCCCATCCACTGGTTCCCAGGTGGAGACAAAATTTCTCCCCACTAAAAATCTCTGGATTCAGCTTCCAGGAAAATGCCGCAACCAACCTTTCCATTGCACTCTGGCTTTCCCCTTCTCCCCCCTTATATAAACAGAGATCTCAGCCCCAGATCCACTCCAGGCCCTCCTGCACTCAGGACCCCACAAAGCAGAAGGGCCTCACCTGCTTCTCCTGCCTCAAGAGGAGCTCCTCGGCCAGGGCCACTGCCTGGGAGCAGCTCTCAGGGCCGCTCTCCCTCACCCGGCTCTGGATCTCCGGGGGCAGGACGCTCAGCAGCTGCTCCAGGACCAAGAGCTCCAGGATCTCCTCCTTGCTGTGATTCTCCACTCTCAGCCACCCACGGCACATTTCCCACAGTCGGCTGTAAGCCCCCCGGGGCCCCTCAGCCTCTTGGAAGCAGAAACCCCTGA